TTTCATTTTTCTAAATGTTAACTAGTTGATATGGAAAATTCTAAAACCATGATTAACATCTCAATAAAATTGCAAAAAAATTAGCTGAGTTTTGTAATTCATGATATAAATTCAAGGGTTGACCATACCACAGGTTTTACATATAGTATATAGGAAACGAATAAATCTTCACTGTACAAAAGAAAAAGATCAGAGCAACTCTGCAATCTGAATTTAGTTGTACATGTGGATTAAAATCTGTTATTTTAAAGTCATGGGGCTGGAACAAAGTTTGCACCCAAGAAATAGGTGATATTAGGTTTAAAAATCTTTTTCTCATATAACCATAAACGAGGAATATATCGAAACTCTGTATAATTATGCTTAAGTACCATAAAGTTTGTTAGGAACACATGTTTACCGAGGGCTTTCCCGTAAAATCGTGGACAAGTTGTCTACTGTGAAAAATAAACAAAATGCTTTCTGAAATTTTCACTATTATTTAGAACATATTTTAGTAATATAGAGCAAATTTCAGATAAATATATGCATAAATAAACAAATTATGAGATTTTATGCCATGTATCATGTATCACCTTACGGCGCATGGATTATAACGTCAAAGTTTCTAAAACAGGGAAACGTTTTATCTTTGCTGAAAATGAAGTTGGATGAGTCCGACTTAAATTTATGGAATTTCATTGATACATTCTTTAGTTCCATAAACAGTCGAAGAACCAACTGGGGGGTCATGCGATCTCAAGCCTGAAGATGTATTAGTAAGAGGCTGTTTTTATTGCTCACCATCATTCAACTATATGAGAAAATTAATATCGGCAGTCTACTGATTGTCACAGCGTCTTTTGCTATTACATTATATATTGAGTTTGTCCGATGTTCTTGTATCCTGTTCAGGGACTCGTATTTTTAAAACTTCGCTTTAAGAAAACTCTCTATTTCATTTGTATACTTAAGATATGGTATAAAAGAAGATTTTGTATAATTTTTTTCTTCTAGTGGTCATTTCAAACATTTTGTCTTGTTAAAGGATGCCATTACAACATCGAAATAAAACTGAACTGTTCTTCGGTGCGCCGCAACGTCATAAAACGTGACATTTTTCGTGTGTTGTGTTTACCTTTGCAACCCATTTTGAATGCCCCTTAGAAACTGCCAAAAATTAAGCAAATGTCTTAAAATTTTTACAATAAGACTATAAAATTGACTTGGAATTGAATTAGGATAATTTTAATTTCTTATGTATTGTAAAACTTTTATTTTGAAAATTCAAATGCTTGTTATTCTTTAATAAAACCTGGTTTTTTGACCGTGCGCCGTATGTGTGACGTTTTACATCATGCACATTCAAGCATAATAAAATCTTTATTTTTGCCTATATTTTCCAAAAAAATTATCAACTTAAATATAATAAGTAAATAGTTACTGAAATTTTCAGCTTAGTGCGCCCATTACTTTTTGAGAAAAACGCTTTTTCCATGATTTTAAGGGACAACCCTCGTACTTAAGCAAAAAACGAAGCATACTTAAACCTCAGTGACAGTAACAGTTCAGAAAATCTTAACTGTTACACTGTATGTTAACAATTTTATTTCAAAATAATATATCTAAAATGTGACAAAACGTTCTTTCATTGGATACCAACATTTTGACCAGTATATTTAGTTTGATATAACAATTGACAATAAAACGAATTTAATTTATTTGATCATAACTTTATAAATTTATTTTCTTTTGCTTAAAGGTCACGTGCATTCCTTGTGATATCTTTGAACTCATGAGATATGACATCAAGCACTACATTGTAGAGAGAATATCTGCTGACAAGTCTTCATGTTATACATGTAAATGAACCCTTTAAGTACCACATACAATTTTGAATTATCCAGGGAAATCCTATGTTCATGATCACTAGTCTCTACATCGAAATTTGGTAGAAATTTTCATGAATGAAGAGTCCAAAATGCAAACAGACAAATAACTCCATAACTACTTTCGAATAAAAAAAAATGAGTGTGGCAATATTTGCATATCACATCATCCATGTTGGAAGGGCTCAGTCTGAACGATTAGGAAAAGAAAGTTGTTTTTGTAATTTTAAATTCCTGAACAATTAATTATTTGCTAGCTGTGTTGATGCAATAGAGGATGATATGTTTGAATACCAAAAAACCAAAAAAGATGAAGAAATTAAGAAACTCAGATGTTTTTTTTTTCTGTTTTAACAAGGATGACTTATCAAATCCAAGCAGACTTGCAGTCAATATACCTTCCTACATTAATGCTGATGTAGACGAACTTAATCTTCAAATGTTGAAAGAACAAGCAACCGGATACTAAGAAAATCCTGACAACCTTGGTCAATGACCTTGCGACCTTGACTGTGACCTATACATTTTCAAAACATAGGGTGACCATTGATTACTTAGCTTTTTTACTGTCAAATGTTTCATTAAAATAGTGTGAACTACCCCCAAATTGATGCCTATTCAATTTGCTATGTGTTTTTAAGTCAATCGAACATCATAAATGACAATTTGTTGTTTTTTGGCAAATATAACATTGGTTGTTATAAGTCTTGTCGCCAAGGACGGTACCCATTTTTGATGCCCATTATTGTTCATTGACATCCACCTTCTCAGTTGTCTATAAAACAGGCATTGGTTGTTATAAATTTCATAAATTTCAGTGAATATTTCTTTGGGATTCTTATGGGGTTTACAGAAGCTTGAATGAAGCGTTTATTTTCACTCTAATTTACTGATTCTTTAAATACCATTCATTTTCATGCAGTGTCTCGAATATCCCTTGTTTTCCAGCTTCTCACAATGAAAATATGAGATGAAAAGTGGTCATATAAACTTATATCAATTCATTAAAGATTTAATCATGAGAGAAAGTCAAGATTAATGTCATATAATAAATGTGTTGTATGTCATAGAGTTCAGGACATTATTTATTGAACAACCCTCGTATACATGTATATAGGTCCCTGATAATTCTATAATTTTACCCCTTTGACTTGGAAAAAGAAATAGACTTGAAAATATTACTGAATACTTCAACAAATTAACAAATATGGACAAATCACACTCAGTAAAGGTTTACAGATGTAAGCAAATTTCAGAATATTTTTGCCTTGTTCTTAAAATGTAATATAAACTTTAAAAAAATAAACCAAGCCAGGTAAATCCTATAACGAAACGCAAAATAGTGAAAAATCAGAAATATCACATAGACTGATTTTTACCATTTTGCAAAAATTTTCCTCATAAATTCAATCTGGTTTGATATATTTTTTAAGTGTTTAAGCTTACATATTCCGAAATTCTTTTCATCTGTAAACCTCAACTGAGTTTGATTCGTCCATATTAGTAATTTTATTGAAATATTAACTAAAATTTACAAGTCTATTTCGTTTTCTAAGTCTAACTGGAAAGAAAATCAAAGAATTATCCACTTTCTAATAATTATAATTAATTAATTAATCACTTATCCTATTCATATATTGTATATTTTTCTAAAGGCCTTGATTGTTAAATTTGATTAAACAAATTCAAAACATTATAACATTTCATATTTGTTTAAACGACTTTAATTTGTTAAAACAAATTTTTGAAAATGTTTTTACGAATCTTACCTGTTTACTAACAATATTTTTGAAATTTGGTATAAGGAATTTATTAATTCGGTTATTACAAATTTATTTCGTTTAACAGATTTTAGAATAAATTTGTTCAAAGAAATTCGACAATTCGTTATATCGAATTCAAAAATATTTTTGATAGGTCATAAATGGGCTTACGTTTTCATTTGAACTTATTATATATTATTTCGAGGTTTTTATTCCTTGCAAAGGTTAACTTACATGTATACCTGCAGTCTGCCCCATACAAAGTTAGAAGGTAGAATACAACATTTTGCTAAGTTAATTTTCTTCTGATCGATGATCGACTTACTTAAGTAAACCCTATCCCCTCTAGATCCGCCTATCTGCCTATGTGGCATTACTTTTTGGAAATTTGATATTTTCCCTATAATTCATTATTGATGGTGTCGGGCACCTTTAAATCAATTTTTAAAACCTCTCTTATCACTTGGGTCAACAAATAACAAGAATTGTGCAAGGCTCTATATAGATGTGCACAGGTAAGTAAAATTTTTATTGTGTTTATTATTAATTTTAATTTATTTCAATGATAATGTTATCAACTGAATATAGATCTACATATTGTTTGCCTCCAAACAAAGGCTTTGAGATCGCTTAGATCTAACCGACATGTTTAAAAAGATTTTACTCACGACAGTGAAATTTAAAAGATCCGAAGACAAGTGATATAATAACTTAGACACGTAGAAACCTGACTAAGTACCGTAGTATTAACATAATCAGGAATGCGGTGGGGGTGGGGACTCCTCTCAGTCTGTTTGCTGTTAATAAAACAACAGTATCGTCCTTCGTTAAAAATTATTTAATTATTTAATTACCCAATTAATACAGATGCCATATACAAAATTATAAATCAAGGCCGTCGTTAAGGGATGTTCCCCTGGCGTTAGGTTAAAAAAATTATAACTTGAAACAAAGACGATGAGTGCCGAGTAAAAGCTATTCAATGGTATATAGTGACGCTATTTCTCATGCATGATTTGAGTGAAAGTATATATCTTGCAACGTACTTGAAAACGCAACAAGAAATCAATTAAATGTTTGAATGACTTTCAGGATTGGTCATTTTCTAAGTTTTGAATTAATTTACCCCGAAAGGTTGGAGTTAATACAAATTTAGAACAAGACAATAGTTATGTTCTAAGTTTTAAAGTACTCCCATCCCGTAAATTCAAAATTAAGAGCATAACAGAATGTACCAAGGTACACACTTAATAAATATCTTAATTTCTTTTGTGAGGAGACATGTGACCTTTAAAGACCCAGAACCTAAATTAATATAGAAAAGATTTGTGGTGTTTATATAAAATTATGTATATGATTATTTATACTAGGCAATGTTTGGGAAAAACTAATTCTGCACAATGTCACAAAAGGGAGGTAAGATTTTATCTTGAACTGATCTCTAAAATATCTGTTAAATTACTTTAATAATCTTTTATCCATTCATATATTGTAAATTCATCGATATACGTGATCTATTATAGATATTGTACATCGATGAATTTACGGGCAGTATTAATATTTTTGTATGTATATGGTTGTTTATATGCTTTAGATGATATTTTCGTAATTAACTAACCAGAGCTGAAAGCTCATGCGTTTCTCTGATCATATTTTCCGGTGAACTTATGTCGATCTGTCTGTTTATTTGTCTAAAATCAGTAAAAGTTATTAGTAATACTGAAGCATCCCCAAGTTAATTTGCGTAAAGGCCTGTTATATCATCTGCACTTGAGGTAACGTTAGAGACACATTAGGGGGCAAATTTTTCATTGGAATAAATGGGGGGGGGGGTAAAATTTGGAGAACAGCAGGGCCAATAGGCTCAGGTGAGCATTATGATCATGTTTTGGTTGACTTGTATATTTTCTTTTGTTATGTCATAAAAATCATCATTATATGATAAAAGTCTTTTATGTTTGCCTGTTTATTTTGTTTGATACATTTAATTTAATTATGTCACTTAAACTATCAAAAGATTTAGTTTATTTTCTTTTTATTTGAAAGCCAACTTTAGTAAACCAAGACCTACAAGACAGTCGTCTTTTACACATGTGAGTTAACATGATTATTATTATTATTTTAATTCATAATAGATTTTAAAGTGTATTAATATTACAATAGAAACGGAATAAAATGCTTAATAATTTTTCCCAAATTTATATATGGCATCTTTTTAGAAAATTACTTTTCTAGCATGTTTATGTTGTTGTTGTATATACGTACGAAAACCCTTAAAAATTAATCTATAGAAAATAATTAGTGACAAGTAGAACAAAGGTTGTCGTAATTAGAAAAGGTTCCTTTTTAGAATCTTTTGCCTCCAAAAATGACAGCAGCTATACCAAGACACCCCCCCCCCCCCCCCCCCCCCCCCCCCCCCCCCCCCCAAAAAAAAAGTTGAATTTTTATACATATATTATTTTATTATATTTTACTGTTAATGCTGCACTAAGTAATGCTAGAAAATGTTGAACAACTTTGGCCCGAAAGAATTTGGTAAACTAAAATTAATATATCTAAAAGAATGCATTTAGTGAACTCCATTATTGTTTGATTTTGATAAATGTTGTTGTTATGATTATTAAAATAGTAAGATTGTTCCATTTTGTTTTCATTTTACCCATTCCATTTTCACTGCTTGCTGTCTTTAATATTCAAATTAATATTTTCGTTGGTTGAATTTCTGCTGCATCATTGCTGTCCACCTGACATCTGTGACGTTTAATTGATTGTTGTAGAGAATAGGGAATAAGTCCTTAACATCAGGAAGTGCAGTGTTGCAGAAAGGAAAAGGCAAAACGTATGTTTATTTGATATCAGAATTATATCAATTCTTAATTCAGTATGAATTATTATATTTAAAAATTTCCATGCACCTATAAAAATGGGGAATAGGACATATATGAGGAATCAAATTCTGTTGTCTGTAAAACTTTTCCCATTTCCAACGTCACCTGAAATGGTCATTTGGTAAAGGGGAGTTTTACTTCAATCACCCTTCGAAGGGAGATATTAAGGAAATACCTAAAGTTGGCCTTGGTGGCATCATTTAAAAATTTAAAAAAGATAGAATCAAAAAAGAGAAAATGCCTTCTTAAATTGTTCGTATATATATCCTCTATATGTATATATATATATATATATATATATATATATATATATATATATATATATATATATATATATATATAATATATATATATATATATTTAAGTAAGACTACATGTTTCCTGGTCACAGAATTAGTAACTGTAAAACGGGTATTTTCTACGGTTGTTGTGGCAAACTTCTGCAAAAATTACAATCGTAAAATATTACTTAAAATTGTATCATTTTTCCCTACAAAGCATGCAAATTTAAGCGATTGTCAGTCTGCAGTTTTGGTGCGACTTTGATTGATTATTATTGTTTAACGTCGAGTCAGAAATACGAGTATTTCAGCCTAATATTTCCGGCAGGTTTATCAAGTTTCAAAGAGTTAAAATGTGCATATATTATATATATATATATATATATATATATATATATTTATATATATATATATATATATATATATTATATTTATATATATATATATATATATTTGCATTACATACAAACTACATGTATATATCAATATCTAATCAACTACCAATTGTATTTATTTGTAATATCATCATCATGCTTGTTCTAAAGATTTGATCACCCCATTTGTAAATCTTTTTGCTCCTCCGGGGGCCCAAATTGGATTAATAAAATCTTGTAAAATCTTGTAAAATCTTGTATACAATGTTGATTTGTCTGCATAGAAAATGATAACCCAACTTTGGCCCAAAAGAACTTGGTAAACTAAAATTAATATATCTAAAAGAATGCATTTAGTGAACTCCATTATTGTTTGATTTTGATAAATGTTCTTGTTATGATTATTAAAATAGTAAAATTTTTCCATTTTGTTTTCATTTTACCCATTCCATTTTCACTGCTTGCTGTCTTTAATATTCAAATTAATATTTTTGGTTCAATTTCTGCTGCATCATTGCTGTCCACATGACATCTGTGACGTTTAATTGATTGTTGTAGAGAATAGGGAATAAGTCCTTAACATCAGGAAGTGCAGTGTTGCAGAAAGGAAAAGGCAAAACGTATGTTTATTTGATATCAGAATTATATCAATTCTTAATTCAGTATGAATTATTATATCTAAAAATTTCCATGCACCTAAATATATGGGGAATAGGACATATATGAGGAATCAAATTCTGTTGTCTGTAAAAGTTTTCCCATTTTAACATCACCTGAACTGGTCATTTGGTAAAAGGGAAGTTTTACTTCAATCACCCTTCAAATGGAGATATTAAGGAAATACCTAAAGTTGGTCATGGTAGCATCATTCAAAAATTAAAAAAATAGAACCAAAAAAAAGAGAAAATGCCATCTTAAACCTTTTGTTAATTCCTCTTTGTAACTTTTGAGGGTTTTTTTCTATTCTCTTTTTCAGATCACAAAGTAAGACTACATGTTTCCTGGTCACAGAATTAGTAACTGTAAAACGGGTATTTTCTACGGTTGTTGTGGCAAACTTCTACAAAAATTACATTCGCAGAGTATGACTTAAAATTTTATCAATTTTTCCCTACAAAGCATGCAAATTTAAGCGATTGTCAGTCTGCAACTGTGGTGCGACTTTGATTGATTATTATTGTTTAACGCTGAGTTAGAAATACGAGTATTTCAGCCATATTTCGGCGAAATGCAACTTTGATAGGTGTTTACTACTAGTATTTAGCATTTACCATTTTGTTATTACTCAGAACTACATTAATCAACTTAATCAACTACCGGTATATTGAAAATTACCAGTCATGCCTTTGTGAAAAGACTTGATCACCCCAAAGAGCTTTAGAGGACAGGACAACCGATTATATGTAGGAGGATGAAAATACCTGTTCCTTGACAAGGTGATGTGATAAGGTAAAAAAAAAAAAGCAGGAATAAGGGTTATTTCTGTCCCCAGCATTTTTTTCTGGCCAACATATTGATTGCTTACCTTGCAGTCCAGAATCCGTATTGTGACATTTGATACTCGCTGGAACCAGTTAAAACCTAAACGAGCGGGAGCTTTTCCTGAATAGAGTTGAAGTCACTCCTTTGTTCTTGTAAAATATGACGCTTTTGACATCACGTTCATTAGTATCGCACTTTTTGCCAACCTCTGGAGCAAGTGTTCATTTACTGGTCAAGCAGGAAGCTCATCCTTCTTGTCTTCTCTGTCGTATCTGGGCAGCAAGATTGCGAGACGGATTCAGACATCTGTATGACACAGGATCTCCATACCATTCTGCTCAGACATGAGGTATTCAACGTTATTTGTAGTGTCGCTTTTCCAGAGACAGAAACAACAAGGGAGAAAGCAGTTACGACAATTTTGGGTTTCCCAAAAGTCAATGCAATGGTCTCCTAGAATTACATGTATATCTGCAATGCCATATATACTACTTCAGACACCTAATTAATGGAAACAGAGAAGAATAAGGACTTGTGAGATGCAGGGATACAAGTGAGTATGGAGGCCTGAAATAAATACAAAACGCACTGCCCTCTTGAAATATGATGCAAACAGAGCAGCAGGGATCAATGTACAACGGGACTTTTGAAAATGTACCAATGACTATTGCGTAAATCTATATCTTGCAAATGACACTAAAATCTTTACGAATGCAAATATACTCAGATTGCTACTCTTAAATCCACGTAGGCAATATTATTAACGACCATGCCAAATTGATGGAATGATGAACAGAACTTTACCTACAATTATATCCCAGAAAATGCAATCACAGAAACAACCACTTACATGTAGAACACCGGTATCTAACCAACCATTGGGGAGATAAATGATACATTTCCACCAATACATTTAGCAATAAATACCTCGGAAAAGTCGTATTTTTTATTGATGGACGATAAAGTTAGGGTTTTCGGTCTCTTTCACATGTCTTTTAGTTCTTCTATTCTTTGATTAGAATGACAAATGCACTAAACATTTAAAACTGGATTGAGACTGGCATGTTTTGTATTATCCGCAACGCCATGCTGTCCCAGTCAGAAATTTGAATTCTGAAGAGTTCACTACTGGAAATACAACGTATTGGTGCATCTAGTATTTTGAAATTAATGTTAGTGGTATGATACACCCGCAAAAATTAAAAGCAGAAATTAATTGCTACTTTTAGGGGTCAACTCAAAAAATAATCCAACCACAGAAAATACCCGTTATGCGGTAATTTCCACAACATTATGATTTTAAGTCAGCAAGCCCAGCAAAATAAACATTACAAAAATAATTTCTCTAATTTAAGTGATTTAAAGTTTCGCAGTGCTGAAAAGAATTTGGTAAATTTCTGGCGGCGTATCAATATTGTTATTGTGCACTTATCAATTTGATTATGACTAAATCATTTAGCTTAGGATAGATATATGAAAAATTTGAACTATTCCATGATCATAGATGATAGAAAACAGGATCAAAATCATTCCAAGGAAAAGGAGGCCATATTGGTCAAGATGCTGCACGGGAAGATTGACAATCTCCCTCATCTTCCACGATCAGTTGTCAGAATATTTATCAGCTCAACGTTTTCAGGTGAAAGGAAAAATCTGCGTTTGAATAGTACATAAACATGCTGATATGTTTTCAAAAAAGTACAATTTGCATTGAAAAATTTATATCTTATGTCTATTATTGACCTCTCTCTTATCATGCGATCTTTAGACATGAGAGCAGAGAGAAACATCCTTTCCCATGAAGTGTTCCCAAAGCTAAAACAGCTATGTCTGGCCAAGGATCTAGATTTTCAGGTGGTGGATATGAGGTGGGGTGTTACGGAAGATTGCCAGAATGACCACAGTGTTGATAAAATATGTCTTCAGGAAGTCGAGAACTGCCAAAAGCTGTCCCTAGGACCCAACTTTGTGGTATATGATCATGCGTCATTTTATTTTACTCTTCAAGTAACTGCATCATATATGTATGCAGGTCCCATTAAGTACTGTACCATTTCAACTGTAAAATTTAAACTGGCAACGTTTTTAAAATTATGTTTTACAAGAAAAAAGACAAAAATCAGCTTATCCTCCATGAACATCTTTATATGATTTAAAAATTGATTGTTGATTGAAAAATACAGATGGAAATTAGTGACTGGTTAACCGGTTTCTCTGTCGATACGATGACAATATAAATTGGTTAAGAAATATTTGAAAGCTTGGTAACAAGATTAAAATATGCTTCAATTTGATAACGAATTCACATTAATTATTTATTTAATTATTGCTCTCTGGAATGAGATTTGGGTTGATTGGCCAGTTTATGAAATGATATTAATTGTTTAAATGATAATACTAAATAACTCTTAATAAAGACAACATACGATAACATACATGTATATGTCACTAATGGACTTGGTTTTACAAAATGATCGTAATCTTTATTGAACAATTTATTATTTTTGATAAGGCTATCATGGGTGACAGATATGGCTTCCGCCCAATTCCTACAGAAATCAGTGAGGAGGTTTTTCAGACTCTGAGAGAATCAGCTGAGAGGATTGCTAAAAAACCTCACGCTGTCAAACTTCTGGAGACATGGTACAAATTAGATGAGAACTGCTTGCCTCCCATGTACATACTTCAGGTATCCAGCTTTAATACTGGTGTAATAATGATGTATGCTTTCATAAAACTCCCAATTCATTTTTTAAGTCTCTATTGACCAAGGATATGATCTATATACTAGTAATAGGTTGTTATTTCCTCAGTAGACCATCAAATACATGTACTGTTTTTTGATAGGATTTTAAAATAAATTGTTTTCAGCCAATCAGATCTCAGTTTCCATTCTTTGGGGACTACTCACCGGGATGTGATGAATCTCGAGCTAAACATACTCAAGAGTGGGATAAAACTTTTGCAGACTTGAGGGACATTCTTAAAAGTGCTGCATTGTCCTCACATCAAGCAAACAAAATAACAAATAAACAATTGCATGAATTCTACATATCAGGTAAGCATGTATAGTGACAAGGTTTGCAGATACATTATGAGAAAGTTCTCTTCATAAACTTGAAGTCTTATTTTGCCTTTCTGGGGATGGGAGGTACTAGTAATTTAAATATGTATTAACATTTGTTGAAAAAGAATGACATCGAGTGCCATGCATTGAAAATCTTAAATTTTCTAGATAAAAGCAACACATGTCAGTGTATTTAAATTTCAGTTGAAACATTGGATAGATTACAGCTGTATATGTTTTAATAGATTTTAAATGAGATACTTTTTAATATTTAAAAATAATTTTTTGCATATTTTTAAAATGAAAGTATATGTAAAATTATGATTTTTTTCATTCAAAGTTACGGAGAAAGAAATTGAAAATGGAATTTTAGATATAAAATCTCCAAGCCAGAGTGCTGTAGTATTCCATCGAGAAATCCAAGGTTTTACTGACTATGAAGACAGAATGACAAAACGACACATTGATACCACTGTTGAGAATGGGAAGGTAACTGAATCTTGGGTTTACCTTGCAAAAGTAATTAAGAAACACGTTCCTAGACTCTTAAAGATAAAAATTACACTCTCTTATCAATTTCATTAAAGGAAGAAAGTTATTTGTAAAAACATTACCAAAGCAGTTCCTATGGATCCACGTAGGGTTGAAATAAGCCAAGGAATTAAAGATAAAGGGTTCGAAATATTTGTTGAATTTATTGATTCTTTTTTTTTTAGTTAAAACTGTTTTTAAATATTTCTTATTTATGAAAAGTAAAATACAAAAGCATCAGAATGACATGGCAATAAGGTGACTCTCAATTACATTACTAAGTGTAGGTCAAAATACCTAAATTAATGGGTAACTGAAAAGTGAATGCTGGATTTTAAAAATTCAAAATTGTGTATCGTATGGTATGTAAATTCATTAACAAAAGTTTTGAGGAGAAATTACTTATAATTTGTTATTTAATGATTTTTATTTTCTTTTTGGTTGGGGAGTTCTGGAGCAAGAAATCCATTTATAATCGACCTGAAAGAATTCTGATAATTTTGAATGTGAAATAAATGTGATGACATTTAATATAAGATATAACCTACTTGGGTTAATTCGACAAAATCTCATGAAAAGTGTACTTTTCAAAAAATGTTTTACAATCTTAAGTGTATTCAATATTATACTCTAGTTTTTTTTATTAATCATCATGATTTTTTTTTTGTTCAGGAAGTTAATGAAAGTTACTTAAATAAATAAGAATTATTGCAAGTAAATTTAGATTTACATCTGCCAATCAGTGTTGATCAATCAACATCCTATTGAAAGGAAAACGGAATTAAAAAATATTTTGCAACAATGTTTGTGTATATTTCAGTATGAATTCTTAGCAACTTTTCATGATGCATATGCATGGGTGCGAAAGAACATCTATTTTAATGTACTTTTAGGCTGTTCCTGACCAAGAAATCAAGGATCTTCAGGGAAAATTGGAAGAAAAAGTAAAACAAAAAATTGAGTCAAATTATTTCCATGATTTCACAGTGCAATGGCTTCCAAATGGCATTGACCCCAAAGCATCCAAAGACCATAAAAAATATCTCGACAATTTCTGTGAGTACTTTCACAATGATCTAAAAAGCCAGATAGAAGCTGCTTATAATGAGAGGGATTCCCGAGCTTATCGCAAAGCTGGGTATTACAGTGATTTTAATGAGGTACTTCATCATTTGCATTTCTGTGACACCAAATGCCAGACATTCTGTGGACAGGAGAACATCATGGACAGGGTTAAGAAGTACATCCTGGATGATGCAATGAGAAAGCCTTTTGTCATTTATGCTCCCTCTGGAAATGGAAAGACGTCTGTAATGGCCATGATCATGCAGAGTCTGCCTGAGTGGTTCAAGAATAAACCGCATGTTGGAATTATTCGTTTCTTGGGCACTTCTGGTCAAACTCTGAATATTTATGATGTGCTGCTTAGTGTTTGTGGACAACTTGCCGATGTTGCTCAGCAGATCATGGAGCCTGTAGGATACAAAAGTATGAAGAATCTCCAAGAATATATGCCCAGGTTTTGGCGAAAGATCGCAAATTTTCTGAAGAAGCCAATTGTTATTCTTCTGGATTCTCTTGATCAGCTGTCATCGATACACAATGCTTATAAACTACAATGGTTGCCAACGACACTGCCACAGAACATCAAACTTGTGGTATCCACCCTTCCAAAAGAACATGGGATACTTGATAATTTGAGAGCCATGCTGCCAGATGAGCAGTGTTATGTGGAGATTCCAGAGCTTCCCTTGGAAACTGGGATTGCAATTATTAACAAATATCTGTCAAAGCAAAACAAAAAAATAACGGAGAGTCAAGAAAAGGTTTTGATAAACACCTTTTCAAAATGCCCTGGACCCTTGTTTCTTAAACTCATTCTGGATGAGGCACTGAAATGGAGATCTTACACTCTGCCTCATTTGGTAGAACTAGAGCAGACGGTCCAAGGAGCCATCAATAAACTTTTTGACAATCTTGAAGTTAAATTTGGAAAGATCATAACAAGTCATGCTCTAGGTTACATCACCATAGCAAGAGATGGTATCTCTGAAAATGAGTTGGAGGATGTTCTGTCCTGTGATGATGAAGCTTTAGATGATGTTTATCGTTACCACAATCCACCAGTAGATGGCATTGTGAGAATACCCCCTGTTTTAGCTGCTAGAATAAGATATGACATCAAGGACTACATCGTAGAGAGAATATCCTCTGACAAGTATACCATGAACTGGTACCATAGACAATTTATTGAAACAGCCAGGAACAGATATGCTTTAGGAGCACTTGGAGAAAAGCTACATGGAAATTTGGTAGAAATTTTCGTAAATGAAGATGGAGTTAAAAAAGACATCACTCTTTCCAGGAGAAAGTTAACAGTGCCAAATGCAGACAGACAGATAACTCCACAACCACTTTCGAGCAAAAACAAACGGATGTTGCAATGTCTTCCGTATCACATCACCCATGCTGGAAAAGCTCTGTCAGAACAATTAGCAAAAGAACATTGTTTTTGTAATTTGAAATTCCTAAGCAGTAAAGTATTTGCTAGCAGTGTGGATGCAGTAGAGGATGATTTGTTTGAATACCTGGAAAACAAAAAAGATGAAGAAATCAAGAAACTCAGAAATTTTTTCTCCTTGACTAAGAATGACTTATCAAATCCCAGCAGACTTGCAGTCAACATTCTTTCCTATATTGATGCTGATGAAGATGAACCTAATCTTAAGAGGTTGAAAGAGCAAGCAATTATGTACTTAGAAAGTCCTGACAACGTTGGATTGATACCAATTTATCCTGGACTGGCGCCTAAGGATGGCATAAAAGAGTCAATGAAGAAAAACATGGGACTTTTGGCTCAGAACACAGTCTGTAGCTTTGATATGCATCCAAATGGAATGGAGCTTGTGACAGTTTCAAGAGATCAGATGTTACGGGTTTGGTTATTGAATGAGGCAAAATGCATCAAGGAGTTTAACATTGGTATGGAAGCTCAAAAAATAGTCATATGTGGTGATGACAAATGTTGTCTTCTGGACAACAAAGGGCAACTGAAAGTCGTCAATCTAAACAAAACCTATGACGTAACTATAGATTTGCCAACACACGTTATTGATTTTACTGTTGGAAAAGATGAAGTCACTGTTTATACAATTGGACAAAAAGAAAAAGCCTTGATTGTCACTGTTTTGGAGTTGGAACAGGGAACAACCAAAGATTCTTTTGCTCTTGATGGCTGTTTTGAGAAGTAATTATATTGATTGATTGTATGTGTTTGAACGTCACATTAAATATCCTTTTTCCATTAGCATAAAAACGTCCTCTGCTCAAGTTGAAGTGCATACAAGAGATGGGCGAACAAGGCATTCAAAATGCTATTGGCTTCAAATGTATGAAATTCATGTTCATTTTGTTAGATTAAGAATTCTGAATAAGGTTCTTGCTTTTCAAAAGTATGAAATAAGGAAACGTACAAAACTTTAAATTTTCTAAAGGAATTGTTTTCAACAAAAATCATTTTTTGATTTAAAAATAAAAATGTGCCAATCTTGAGGTATGAGCTGAAGCAATTAAAATCATGAGTATCAATTTTCTTGGAAAGATACGAATGTTATCTAACTACAATGTACAGTGTATTTTAAGGTATAGTTTGTTCTTTGTTTCATGTTATATTAACTAAAATGTAAAAGAAAGAATCTTTCACTTTTAATTATCGCATATTTATCATTTTGGTCACCTTGTTCGCTCGTTTAAACTTAAGACAGCATTTCGTAAATTGCACTATCATTATGAAGATCTTGTTAGCAAATTCATGTATAACCTATCATTGGATCGTATTTTGCCTGACTTGTTTCATACCAATTATTAGACCTTTGTTTCTATACTGAATTGACTACGGATAGTACCTAGCTGCAGATCTGTAGCGTTTTATATATTTGTCTTTGACCATAACGCTACAGATCCCATAATGCAAAAAGGTGCAATTTACGGCGCAATAAATTTTGCGCTCTTTTAGGGAGAATTTCTCCACTTTCCAGCATCGGTCAATTAATTACCTCTCACTCCCTAATTCTAATCACATTCTGTAGCCAATATGTATATTGTATCCATTTCCCAACCATTTATGTCTCTACAGGCAATTAACTCGCTTGAAGTGTATTTTCAGCAATCTAACATATGATTTTAATTAAGCGAGTTTATAACTTGTAGAGACGACTATTTATAAGGGTAGGTAGATGGATAAAATATTCAGATTTAATACTTAAATAATGTGCCTAGAATTGGGGAGTAAAAGGTAGTTAATTAACCGATGCTGGAAAAAGGAGAAATTCTCCCTAAAAGAGCGCAAAAAATTGCACTTTTTTGCATTACGGGATCCGTACCTTTATGGTCAAAGACAAATAGATAAAACCATAATGCTACAGACTGCAGCTAGGATAGTACCGATAAACATAGGGCTCTAGGCCAATGCGACTGGTCAATGGTGGGAGATGGGGGTGGGAGTGCTTACTCATCCTAGGTACATGATATTACCTCTAGAATTTCCAGGGGTCCGTATTTAGTGCCCTCTTTACGTATTTGCATTGTTTGTGAATTTTTCTAGACTGACCACTGTTTATTTTCTTCACCTTTTACATCTTTTTAAGCTGTAATCTTCGTGATGGAAAGGTCTTTAGTTCGAACATCGGCTGCGACTGACCTAAGTTGATAAACTATAGGGAACAACTGTTCCTTCATTAAGCACTTGACATTTTGAAATAAAAGTTGCGGTTCTTTTGAATGAGACCTTAAAAACCGAAGCCTCCTGTCATGACAGGCGTTAGCACCATAGAGAACCCTGGCTGCTTTATGGCCCCGAGTGTTGGGTGAAAGTGTAGATTTACAGCTCTTCACCTCTCTATATACGTGAAAAAATTCTCAAATAGGACGTAAAACAACCTACAATCAATCAAAGTGTGTTGATGTTCTTAGTTAGCAAAAGTTGCCTCTTGTGCGACACAAGTTCTATCGTTTGGCGCACTTTTGACAAACAGTTTTTGCAACGTGCAATATTCTAGGATAAATATTTTTTAAAAGATTCATATCTCATTTTATCATATAAAATATTATTCTTAAAGACATTAATTTGTCAATAAATACTAGTTCATTTCATCAGTGTATCGACTTGAGTACATGTTCACTTGAACACTATAGATTAATTTCTTTAATAAAAAGCAAGAACTTTTTTAGTCATCTGTAACTGTCATCATCGGTGCATCCAACCATTATCCATTGTAATGTCAATGTGTAATTAAATAAAGTTCAAGTATAATTGTTTATATGTTTTACTGTTTTCAGTATGAATTACAAAGGTCCCCTGAAGTTTGAAACTCTCCACTTGTGCCTGAGTGCCAGTGAAAGATACCTGTGTGTTCGCAGCAAGCTTCTTCCACCTGAGTACAAAGGAATTGAAGCATCTTGGAAGAAAAGAGGTGTTCAACTTGATCAGGTTAACATGTATAAATTCATGGCTGTGGATTATAACATGGATTTGCGTAAGATTTCATTAGATTTTGATTTAGTTAAACTTATTCTGTTTTGATTACACGTGAAATTAAAATGCAAATCAACATTTTTACAAAATGTATCGATCTTCTTGAAAATTATTTATCATATACTAGAGTATATAATTGTACATTTAAAAAAAATGAAGCACAAAACGTACTCTAGGGAGCTGAGCCTGATAAAACTTAAATTTACTTGACGAATCCAGTTCAGTGTTTCTTTAAGATACTCGGACATGTATCATAAAGTAATATTTTCAAAAATTTATAAAAATCACAGAGAAATTTTGACGTGAAATTGTCTCTATCATCTGTCTTTAAGGTCAAGATCTAGTAAATGAAAGGTGCCTACAGATTTATCAAATTTGAGAAATAAATTCCTTTTTTGATGCTTTACAACTTTAGCTTGGTCAAATAAGGTGTTTCGGGCCATAATTTGTAGGTAAACAAGATGAAAGGCTGTCTTTTAAACTGTCATTTTCAATGAAAAATTAAGAAAGCCAGTTATGAATATGGGTTTTTTTCATATTCAACAAAGAAAATGTATCCAAATTGCCTACAAAACGGTAATTAGTATGTTCATGACCTCTTCTTTAAATCAATATCATTTTCAATATAGGTACTGAGTATCCGCTTTACTTTTCATATGATTTCAAATTGAATGTCATGAAAATACCCTATTTTCTACATAATTCTGCTAAAGCCGTAAAGTACGGGAAAAAGAAAGTTGAAATTGAAAATGGATCTATAGCACCAAAAAATTAGTCTAAAATTATTTACTAGATCTTGATCTTAAATGTGTACTAGTATACAGTGTATATATGACTTTTATTTGTAAAGGCAAAAAATAATTTTAATCTTTTGTGCTAGTTGGTCGACAAGTGAATTTATAAATGGGGAGGCACACTTAAGAAAACATCATTACGAGGCGCTAAATACATGCATCGCTGACCAACTCCCAACTCTTGGGGTAGAAATATGTGCCAATGTGGAAAATGAAATGATGATTACCACCATGCGTTCGGTCGTTTTCTGGAATATTTCCAAAGGTAAAATAATGTTTAGTTTTAATTGGAAGTCTTAAAACATTCTTGCGAAATGTTTTTACACAAATGTTGAAGCCTTATAGTATTTCCCATGTTTCTCAAATATTCTTCTTTAAAATTATTGAAGTAACATTTAATTCAACTTTACTGAAATGAAAGATAATAAAGTTGACATGGGGAAAATTTCCTTTTTTGTTACCCTCAACAAAGATATGACTTATATATACGGGGGGGGGGGGTATTTTTCAAATTGAAATATTGAACAGAGAGTCTAACTTAATATGAATCATAGATTTTGTGACTGTGATTGTATTGTCTACTTTTTCTAAAAAATTGTTTAAAATAGTTGATGCGGGCTCATGTGCTCAAAGGACTTGCAAGAACAAGAAATATTTAATGATGAACAGACCGTCCTGGTTTGACAATCCTACCAATTGTAAAGGAACCACAAAAGCAATGGTTCGCAGCAAAGATGGTATGTTCCTTGCTTTAGGCTCAGAAGATGGTTACTTGTGTATCTACAGCATAGAAACAGGATATCCCATAGGAGAGAAACTTCCATCCACTAAACACTCTGCCTCTGTAAGTACATTATAGTTACACGAACATAGTGCTCAATGAAGTTGATTATCTTGACAGGATATTAATTTTGCCATAAGATTCAAGATTACCTACAAAAACAAAAGAGAAGAACAAAAACAAAAATTATGATTACAGTATTTGAAAACCAAAATTATATATAGATTCAATAAAAGTTTCAAAACTAATTCAATTAAAATATTTTTATCTTAATAAAATTAGCAAAATTTACCCAACAGAATACTCCTAAATAAAGTATAGTACAGTTTATCAATCTGTAGAAATATTTTGGTTTATGCTATATGTATACATTGCCAATGCTGCTACTTGACTTACAGTGAGGTGCAATGAGGGATAATTAATTTTGATTCATTATAAACGTAGTTCGTTATATCCAATAAGTTCACACCTACAGCCCTGGATATGAAATTCCCTCTGCCATAATGCAATTTCTAATTATAAACATGTCCTCTGAAAAAATATTTTTCTGTATTTTAATAGAAAAACACATTCTTGAATGAAGATGTGCTAACTTTACAAAAAGACACATACACAGTATAAATATATTTATCTGTGGGAGTATAACTTTGTAAACTTTAATCTTACCTGATATTTACTTAATTTTCCCAGGTGATAAAGGTTGCCTTTTCGCCGGACTCCCAGTGGGTAGCGTCCGCCTGTCAGAACAACACCATCAAGCTCTGGGACGTGTCCTCGGGTAAGGAGGTGTTCAGTACGCGGGTAGATGCCGAAGTCCAACAAATCAGCTTCTCCCCCAAGTCCCAGTACCTGGTAGTCCTTACTGGGACAAACTTGACACGAGTGCTGATCTACAGAGTACACACTGGAAAAGTATAGAGATGTCAGAACCGTGATTTTACACCTCTTTCCAGCTTGATACCGTCAGTTTTTCAAAACAATAGTTATTTAAGGAAACTATTCATGATAAATGAAGATACTGACGGCACACTTAATCATGTATATAGTTTTTTCGGATATAATAAGTACTGTAATAGGATGTAGTTCCTATCCGTCCTCTGATTTACTTGTACAGTAGATAGCTGTAGTTTTGGTCATTATTAGACAACTTTTAGACGTAAGTATTCCGAAATGGTAGACAATTTCATACCAATTTCTACACAGTATACTTCTTGTAGAACTTTTATCAATATATATTGAAAATATCTGAATATCAAAAGAGTTATACCCCTTATGCCAATCAGTGCAGCAGGAGTACTTAGTATATTTAGCAACTTTTGATTTAATATAAATATATCATGTATATTATCATATTTTTCTTGATGATATTTTTTATATCGATTTTGTTTCTATGAATTTATAGTTTACCTATTTTTCTAGCTCATGTTCTAACAATGTGATTTTTTCTCTTTAACTTATGTAGATATTTGGATTTTTATATTCACACTTTACACGTACATTGCATCCAGTATATTGGAACAAAGAATATATGCTTATATGTTTAGGAATCATAATATTTGTGTTAACATTTATTTATACATAGACGTTAATCAATAACGATAAGGAATGCCATGAAAAATTCTCACTTTACTTCTTTTAGGATTACACACAGTTTATAAGTTCTGTGTGAAATTTTGTCCTGGAATATATTATTACTACGTATAGACTTTGTAAAATGTAATAAAATGAAATTGACACTGCACATATATGAGGTGCCAGTAAATTTTGCTAATACGGTCGCTAAAAAACTTTGATATATAAAACAAATATATTTTAGGACTTTTTGATATTTTTATCTGAGAGCTTTCGGTACAATATAATTAAGTAAAATTATTGCATTGTATAGGACGATTTAGGCAGTTTATATTTCCCAAGTACATCTCTCTCTCTCTCTCTCTCTCTCTCTCTCATTTTGCATTCCGCACATCATTAAACACAATCTGCAAAAAATTTAAAATACATCATTTAATTAAGTCTTACTGAAAAAAGTCTTTGTAACGTTCAAAGGAAATGCAAGAGATCATCACAGATTTTGAAAGCTGATATGATTTTCTAATATGTTTGATGACCATATCAATATCTTTTAATTATAACACCTCTGACTTTTTTAAAACTTCTATTAAGATTAAAAGTTAATCTAATATTATTTTCTTCTTCATAATATGTATATCCATATCAGTTAAAACATTATTTAAAAGTGAATTCAGTGATCTCTTTCATAGTGTTATTATTCATTCAACACACACACACACACACACACACACACACACACACACACACACACACATGTTCATACAATAGTTCTTATAACTAATGAAGTATGGAGTTACTTCTTATTTGATGTATCAGATCAAATTTCTGGATTTGTTAAAATACCAAATCGATGCTGTTTTTTTTTTCTTACTAAATAACCTTTTATTGTGATAATTTAAAAAGTCCAAACATCCACCACCACAAAAACAAGCAAATATTTTTAAACTACAATGAAAATATTGAAATTCTAGACATGCAGTAAACGAACAGCTCTCTCCGGCATTCAGGCTTCTGCTGAATATTTCTTAGATTTCTTCAATGCAATACATTTATTTAGAAATCCATTTAATTCTAGACTATAAATATATTAACAATTAATTCATCTGGAACATCATTTTGTATTAATAAACTGCACCTGTTAAGTGCATTGGTTGAGAAATAACTATTTTTATATTTGATTGTTATAAACTGAATATTTACCACTTACTTATTCTATTCACCAGAATGAATGGAATAAGGAGTGGGTATTTTTTATGGAAATTAGGCGATTCATAACTATTACACGGCAATGTTATGTAAATTTGGTGATTTATAGCTGTGCAAAAAAAATCTACCTTTTCTGTAAATTCTTTTTTCACTTTAATTGTTTTTTCTTGTTAACACAGTTGAACAAATTTATACAGTGTGAATTCATGAATGTTATGATATGAAACACATGCTGGACTCGTATTTATCAAGAAAGGATAATTAATTTCTATTAGTTTCTCACTAGAAAATGTGTATAGCCCTGAAAAACTTTATCCTGACGACATGATGAAAAGAAACTATTCATTGATTGTCAATTTTAAGTGAAAGAAATATGTATTTAATTAATAACAGATTGTAAACTGATAAGAAAATGGCACAAGAAATCAACATGTCTGTGTGAAATATACAGTGGAATTGCCAAAAACACATGTGATAGATTAAGAATCAATTTTCACTATGGAGTGTTTGTGTAAGGTAGATTGAACTAGGGTGTTAAGTGGTATAACATGATTTTAATTACAAATCTGTTTGCTAAAGGACTTAGTGATGACAGGTGTGTAAGGACAGATTGTGATAAGAACAAGCTTTTTTTTTTCTTTATTCGTTGTACGCCATCCCAGAAGTTTTTGGCTAGCTGTTGCTAGGTTTTTTTTCTGTTTGGAATTTGTTGATATCTTTATACTTTCTAATGAATCTTTAAAACTCCTCTTATTCTGCAGTTAAGGCTGAACATGTCTCTTTTATAGTGATTAGCACAGTATTATGTAAGAGGAATGCATATATTAGCTTAATCAGACCTATCAATGCACTTTGTAACACCTGGCCACAGACTTTATTAATTTTTTAACTTCGTTTCTGTGGGTTTTGCTTTTTGTTGTTACTCATTGACATCGTCTATAAAATCTCTAAATCAAACAGTAAAAATCATTCCTCTTTTATTTGTTTGGATATGATGTTATGTTTGATAGATATCCTTGGACATGAAGCAGAAATACTCGTACTTATAGTTATAAATTTATTTATTATATACAGAGCAACATAGCATCAGTATAAGGTTATATATTTTTATTGTTCTCCGAGGAAAATATAAGGCTTTATTGTATAATATAATATTCCTTTATTTAGCAGGATAATCATCTGTAAAGTCTTGTTTTATATCTAAGTATATATGCATCATACTAGATAATCACTTAACTCGGCTCTCTGAATTGTTTGCTGTAAATATATGCAATTCTCTTAACAAAGTTTATTTCCAATTAGAGAAGTGATGTTAGGCTATATAAATATTGTATAGTATATAGATTTTCATCCCCCCCTCTGAAATATGACATAAATAATTATTGATGTTAGCAAGAGCTCAATTTGTTGTGGCAACGAGCTCTATCCCTTATAAATACGTATTACCAAAAACCGCTACATGTATAAATAGTAGTTATCTTGTTCTTGAGATCTAAATATTTTTCAAAAGTAATCAAACTAAAAAGTTCATTGAAACAATGCAGATGGGGAGCAGAAAAAATACGAGCCTAAAAAAACATCAGAGTTGGAATCGGGTGCCGCGGAGGAAAGATAATCCCCCTGTTGACACACCCGTACGACGTTTTGTTTATTTTTCATATTTTAAGCAAATAATTCGAAAGCATTTCACTGTTTACAAACAAGAAAAACTCAAATGTACTCTTTTTTCAAACTATGATTCTTGTAAATAAACTATAGTAAGTGTTATTACAAGTATTATGATATTATACACAATGTATAATGTGCGGTAGTCATTATGTGTTATATTATCTATATCTATATCATCTATATTTAATATTATACTTTATATATAAAGGAGGCTGTCGACTTTTCAATGTGGTTCTGCATGAAAACATGTACGTGTTTGTAGAGATGGCAAAAACTATGCACAATGTACAGATCTAGAATATTATAGAGATTTTACAAAAGTTCACCCTGTTTTGATGGATACAGGTCAGTTACACCGTATATCTTCATTCAATCGGTGTCTCTTGACCTTGTTCAAAGTCTTGTTCCTCTTTCCGTATATTTTTATCAGTACCTGATTTTAGAAAAAGGAAGCAGATTAATTGATGCTGAAATGCATGTTTTCCGTCAATTTCAAGATTGAATGTGCGGATTAAAATATGTATAGGCCCTATCGCCCTATCGTTCATATTGTTTTTATCTCCAGTTTCAAATTTTATATTCCTTTTTCCGGATACGCAGAAACATTTTATCGGTGCTTCTACTAATTGATTAGGCGAAAACAGGGAAACAATTGTATTAGTGTTAAATCAATGCATATTTTACTGATCCCCCCTTTTTTGCTGTATTATATTCATTGCGCATTCTCTTTAAAGAAGTGGACCGACATGGAATTAGGCGAAAGTCTGTCCACTTCTTTATAAGAAAATAATCCGCTCCACTGCATGATTACCTACATGTATAAGGCACAAAGCATCAGGCGGGGAGACGGTGCCCATTCTTTTCCTAAACAATACTTCTTACTTTTGAGAATTTTGTTTTGTTCCCCCTTCACTTGTTATAACACCTCAAATCAGAACAGTCTGGTACATGTAATTTATGAATAAAGCTGGTTATTAAAAAAGGTTTGAACCCCTCCCTTCCACCTGGAAACGCACTTTGAAATAAAAACGCACTTTTAAAGAATTCAAAGTGCGTTAAAATTGGGGGGGGGGGGATCAACGCACTTTGAAATTTTTTGTCAAAGTGCGTTAAAAGTGTACATCAACACTTTTTTACCATGGAGGCACTTTACCCACTTTAAAAAAATATGTTTAAAATTAAATTTTCGGACTTCGAGTTTAGTAATTGACGACATTATTTCTTGTGAGTGATCTTACTTTTATCCTCATCGAGAAAAAAAAAAAGAAGAAAAGTAAAAGGATCGACCCTCAGTCCATTTTCTTTATCTTTCCTACCCCAAAATTATGTTAATCATATTTCTCTCTCTATGAATTTAAGTGAACATAAAATAATGAAAAAATAAAATAAGCTTTCCAAAAACGAAAAAAAAAAATATTAATAATAAATTAATAAATACCCTCTTTTATTATAAAAGAGATGCTCTGTGATCATATCACTAAATAATAGCCAATCGACTAAACTTTGGTCAAAGTAACGTTACAAATTCATATACAAGTCAAAAATAAAAAAAATATATACGTACAATGCATAATTATTTTTACATAAATCTTAATAATAATCTATTTATTAACTGTAAAAAAGACCATCATCTTGATCAGGAGTAAAAAAAATTATATTTCTTTTATCATGATTATACTATTTTCAGGAGTATACATAAGAAAAAATTATACATCTAAATACTTATCAAATATCTATAAAAGCCCGTTATTTTGTGTTGGAAATTCATTTTCAATGAGAATACAAACTTGAACTCCATTTTGTTGCATTTACAGTAAATTGCAAATCCTGAAGTGACATCATCAACGAAAAGTCCAACCAGGTTCAAACAATTTATTATATGCATGAATATTTACAACTTTAAGACGTGCACATTGTTTTCAAAGTGCGTTAATATGGTCGATATTGACGCACTTTGAAAATTAAAAAAAAAAAATTTCAAAGTGAGTGGACTTCGTCCCAAATTTAAAGCCTATAAAAAAAAATTCAAAGCGCGTAATTTTTCAATGTGCGTTGTAACACGGCACGAAGTAAGATTTCGAATTTGGACAATTTTCTTTTAGAGATTTCACAAGGGTTCAGACTGTTCTGATGGGTACAGGTCACTTACACCGTACATCTTCATTCAATCGGTGTCTCTTGACCTTGTTCAAAGTCTTGTTTCAAGATTGAATGTGCGGATTAAAATATGTATAGACCCTATCGTTCATATTGTTTATCTCCAGTTTCAAAATTTTATATTCCTCTTTCCGGATACGCAGAAACATTTTATCGGTGCTTCTACTAATTGATTAGGCGAAAACAGGGAAACAATTGTATTAGTGTTAAATCCATGCATATTTTTACTGATCCCCCCTCTTTTGCTGTATTATACATATTCATTATGCATTCTCTTTAAAGAAGTGGACAGGCATGGATTTAGGCGAAAGTCTTTCCTTTTCTGTTTAAAGAAAATAATTCGCACCACTGCATGATTACCTACATGTATATGGTACAAAGCAACAGGCGGGGGAGAGGATACCCATTCTATTCCTAAAAATACTTCTTACTTTTGAAAATGT